AGCAAACCAAAACTTACATACCCAGCCCTGTCACTGATCTGTTATGTGCATGATGTTGCTACTTTTCCCAAGATGCTGGGGTGGGATTTCCATTTTCAGTCCAAAGTGGCTGTACAGCACTGTCGTATCTGAATGGTAATATTTAATACCTGGCCTGGGGTGGTATAGACGGTAATGCAATGTTACAGTTGCAAAGCTGCTGTCTGTTAATCGATGAAGAAGACTACACAATAATGGTAAGAATACTGTGAGTGGCCTAGTGATGTGATGCAAAGTTACTTTACAAGCCTGGAAGTTGCTACCAATTCATTTACGAACAAATAAAACTAGCTTAATAAAGGCTCATGGGAAGAGCCAACAAGATTGCCACCCAAGAAGACCTGTTCCATCCCTTGCATGGGCTGGCTCTGATCATCTCATTAGAAACTAATTTTGGATGTAACCTGCTATCCAAACACTCCAGTCTTATCACTTGCATCACCTCTGTGTGTATTGCATTTCAAATATTTTTCTTGGATACCAACCACTATAGGGTGATGTTGCACAGATCAGTATGCAAAACCAATGCAATAAGTGAAAAAGTTGAGTGGTTTAGTGGAATGTACTCTAGACCTCTGTAAGATGCATCTTTGTACGTCATTGCCCTTACCTATACTGCAATGGCAATCTTGCAGAAAATCTCATTAAAATAACTTAGTTGCACCTCTCAGGCCAGAGCCTGCTGCTGTGAATTCTTCCTTGGGTAAAAGGAAGGCTTTTGCAGCCTTGAGTCTGGGAAACATCAGGAAGCATTTCAGTGGCACACCTAATGAAAGCAAGGACATCTGATTTCAGGCTACTGGCATTGATACTTTCATATTGCATTTGATTTCTAGCATTACAAAAGCTAAGATGTGAATTTAAAAAAACAACTAGTGATGTTCTTTGGTTTTCAAAGGTTAACATTTGAAATGGGAATCAGGATTTTTTTTTTTTTTGGTTGAAAAACAGATGTTTCTCATCCTCTTCCAGGGCTGGTTTCTAGCCCCAGTTAACAAATTTGAAAGTTTTTCTTTTTTTGTGTCCAGTCCATGAAACTTATTTGATCCTTTTCCCTGACACACAAGTACTGCATTCTGTGAATCCTGTGATGACCACTGCACCATAGGATGCAAAGTATACTTTGTCATAACCATATAAAGACAATCCAGTGATTACATTAAATTAAAAAGAAAAAAAAAATCCAAACAAACAGAGGTCATCTGTGGTATACCCCAAATGACCATAATAGAGCATTTTAAAGATAGTAATGATGGAATAATAACAATTCCTGGCAACCATGAAATCCCCCCAAAGCACTTTACAGGCCATAAAGATAAAATCATTATTGTCCTTTCCTTCTCGGAGTGAAGTTTACCCCTGTGCAGAGGCACAAGGGACCAGATGACCTTACGAGTTCCCTTCCAGCCTTACTTTCCTAAGACCCTATGTAGGCCCAGATCCTCAAAGGTATTTAGGTGCCCAACCTGCAAGGAC